GAGTTTTACTCTGAGGAGTCCAGTCCCCTTCTGCTCAAAGAGAGCCAGCCTTCTCGGGGCCCGGGAGCCAAATTCTAGGTAATCAGTGGCTATTGCTTCTGATTGCAGACTGAGGCGATGGATGTCGATAACGAGGGGACCGAGAGACTCTGCACTGGTTGGCTACCAGGCGGGGGAGCGTCTGTGTTGCGCTTTCACTTGGGTTTAACCTCCCAAGGGTTAGAGACCCGCCTCGCGCGACGTTCGCTCTGCGCGCTGGGCAGCAGCCTCTTTTCCTGCACCGCTCGGCGGCCGCCTGAGGAGGCGTTGCAAATTTCCTTCCCAACCACGACAGAACCAAACATATGTTCCCCCATACTTTTTCTTTTCTTTTTTTGTTTAAAGGAGAGGGGAAGAGAGGGAGGGAGGAAGTTTGATTTTATCCAGAAAATAATTAAAATCTCCTGTATTTTTTATTGCTTCGAGTATCCAGCAGAGTGGAAATATTGAAACTTCAAGCCCTCTTGCATTAAAAAGTCACAACTGTTCCATTTTATGAGTTCTGAGTGTGTGAAAAGAACGGACGGGGACAGTTTTAGAGGGAGGAAGGGAGCCGGGTGGGGAGAGCAGGGTTTTTGGAGCCCCGAATGGCCGTAAAAACATAATACAATCGACTATAAAAACCTGCGAGGGTGATATTAAAAATTATGTAGCTCCATAAATGCGGAGTTTTGTGGAGAGTTGGGCTTAATCGCTTTCAGCCTCTAGAAAAAGGGCGCTGGGATCGCGAACGGAGAGGGTGGTGGGGGTTTATTTGGGGGGGCACTAAAAATTAAGTGCCGATTCCCCCCCCAAAAAACTCCTACTTCTCTTGCTAGAGCTTATGCAGCAGCCCAGGAATGCAATAACTCGGCTATTGAAACTTCCTTTTAACAAGGCCTATTGCCTGTATAAAAGTCAGCAAAGAATAATCTCCCCACCCCCCGCACTTCCCTCTTTATTTGCTTCCCACCACTAGGAGTACAACAAACCTGAGCTTGAATCTCTTTCAATCTTGAGGTCTCTCGCCTTTTAAAATAAAAAAACTGGGTGGCTTGTAAAAATATCGAGGGAGGGCTGAGGCTGGATTAGTTCCGATCATACCCGTCGTTTGTTTATTTATCCCCAAAGGGCAGCGAGGTTGGGGTGGGTGGCTGGGTGCTATTTTTTCCTTTTTCTTTTACGGCGCGCGTCTTAAGGAAACTAAACTTGCAAATCCAAAGCTTCCAGGTGAAAATATTAGCCGGTTCGCTTGGGGTGGGCAACAAGGCAAGACCTTGAGGGCGCGCTAAGGTAGGCAGAAAAAAAGTCATCAAAGAAAGGGATTCGGTTACCTATACCAGATTTTTATAAGACCCTGGCAAACGCAATGGGAGGGGGAGGCTCTCGCGCGTGATGAAGCCTCGCTGGCTCCATAGAACTCAATGGGCCTTCTTAAACGCAATGATTTCTGATCGTTCTGCATCTCGGTTTGGGGGCTCCTCGCTTGCTCTCCTGTGATGAGCCTCGTGGATTTAAGACAGGAGACACGCGGATGAACTGCAAACGGAGCAGCTGCCCTTGCTTGTCTTCTGATGAGGACTTACTGAGACAGACAGACAGACAGACAGACAAACAAATATAGATGTTCATATATTCATGAATGAAGCCAAGGGAAGGAAATTCCCCCCTCTCCCCACGATACCTCAAGTCTTGGAAGAATGGGGGTGGCGGCAAGAAGAGAAACTATGGGTTTGGACGCTGCAATCCTAGTCCCACTTTCCTAGGACCTTAAGCTTTAGCTGTCAACGTTTTCCTTTTTTTAAGGGAAATTCCCTTATTGCGAATAGGATTCCTCGCAAGAAAAGGGAAAAGTTGACAGCTATGGCTTAAGCCCCATTGAGTTCAGCGGGACTTGCTTCTGAATAGCCCTGGTTGGGCTCGCGAGTTAAGCACACTCCATCGAAATCTATGGGCCCAGCGAGTCCCATTGATTGCAGTGGGAATAAAGCAGGATTCATTTCGCCCCACATCCAGCCCTAAACGTTCATAGCCGAGAACAGTCAGTTTCCCAACGATCAGCGGCGGGAAAAGCCTTCTGAGTCAACGAAAAGGGCGTGTTTTCCTTCTCGGCTGGAGGAGGAAATTGGTTTACAAACCAGCAAAACCGTGGCGTGTTGGAGAGGGTGGGGAACAGGAGAAGGAGCCTTCCTTTCTCTGAATGAAGTTGGCCCAGCATGAAAGGCGACGTTTCTTTGCATTTCCTTACCCCCCCCCCCGGACGAGATGCGCAAACTGGAAATGAACCAGGCGACTTCACTGGCCGAGGTTTCGTCTGCCTGCAACTGACCAAAAGCAAGCCAGAATGGACTTGAGAAAGAAAGAATCCTTTCGCAGTCAGGACATTTGGCTATTTCAGGGCTATTTCACTTGAAAGCGAGGTCCCCCCAAATAAAGGGATTTTTAACTCCAAAAGAAGCCTGTGTGTGATCGGGCAGTTGACGCCCCTGACATCTGTAACATCTGTTTGGGATAGTGGCTTTTTTTAATGCAGGAGGGAGGAGGGAGGACCTGGAGAATATTCCGGGGGTTAAAATAAAAAATAAACTTAGAACGAACACCTGGGGAGCAAAGGGAGGAAGGTACCGTAACTGCGTTTGATCCAGCTTGTCTCGCGCCTGGTCCTATCCTGCTGCTACTCAATACACCCCCGCGTGGATCCGATGGTGACGTCTGCGCTTGGCATAGCGGAGATCCCAGGTGTATGGATCCGTGTCTGACGCCCCCGCCAGCCCCGGAAGGCCCGGGTGCAAGGAGGAGCAGGAGGTGAAAGGTCCTCGCGGCTCAGTTAGCACCCAGCCAGGAGATAAGTGGGGAGGAACGAGCCTAGCTTAGCCTCAAGACATCCGCAGCTTCTTCCCAAATTGGAAGGAGGAGCCGGCAGTTTCAAACAATGATCTGTCGGATTAAAGGCAGGCGAGCGAACGGAAGAATTAATGGGCAGAGAAGAAGTTGCAGGAGAGCGAGAGAGGAAACGATCAGGGAGACAGCGAGAGCTGTTCGACAGTGGAACAGACTCCCACTAGAGGTGGTGGATTCTCCTTCCTTGGAGGTTTTTAAGCAGATGTCGGCTGGCCACACCTGTCATGGATGATCTAGCTGAGCTTCTTGCATTGCAGCTCGGCCGTTCTATGATTCTGAATTGTTCCTCCATATTGCACGAAGGTCAGTGTGTTAGCCTATGAGGTGTGGAGCCCTGAATTCAAATCCTCACACACTCATGAAGTGTCTTCCGGTCACCACCTATAGGCTTGATCTACCTCACTGGGTGCGTGTTTGTGGGGATAAGATTCGGGAGGGAGGAGACCACCTTGAACTCCTCGGAGAAAATATGGGATGGAAAAACCCCATAAGCAGCCAACAACTCAAACGCTGTTTAGTGGGAGAGTAGGAAAAACTCTTTTAAACAAAATCATCTGCAAGAAAGAGAGAAGGAACAAGGGCCCGTCGGAGAACGGAGTCTATTATTCGCCCAACCGGGCTCAGCCCCGGAACCTGTTCTGCAATATTTGGGATGAGCTGTGAAAAGAGCGGGGAGGTAAGCGTTCCCCTGCGCGACTGCAGAGCGCCTTTCCCGCGTTGCTGCGGTAATCGGAGTAAACTGCTTTAGAGGATGAAGCGGCTTCCAAGGCAAGAAAATATGTCTCGGACACATATTTCCCCTCCCCCCTCGAGGTTGTTACAGAAGAGGTGCAAAAGAAGGGACCCCCCCCCGGGGGAAGGTTTGGTTCCCACACCGTGCTGGCAAAATCCAGCTGGAATTTTGTGCACCTTTACTTGGGAGTCCCATTGAACTCAGCTAGAATTACTCCCAGGTCAAAATGCATCCATTCTGACTGTTCAGGTGACTGGTGGCGTTGAACCAACCACTATGAGCACACAGGATCCGGGCAAAGCTTGGTGGTAGAAAGAAGGCAGAGGAGGCGGAGGGAAGCCCTTCAAAAAGGCTGCCGCGGGCAGGATCCAGCCAGCTAGATCATCCAAGCGGGGGAAGGGTTTTCTGGTGACTATGGTCCCAGTTGCCCTGAGAGCATTGACAAGTTCCCCCTGTGTAGTTCTGGGCTGCTTCATCACCATTCTCATGATCATTGCAACTCCACAAGATGAGATCTTTCATGGAGCCCCAGACCAAGGGCGGTTGACAGTTATTTTGTGTTTCTTCCATTTGCAAATTATTGCACCAACTGTTGTCACCTTCTCACCAAGCTGCTTGGCAATAGTCTTGTAGCCCAGTCCAGCCTTGTCTACAATCTTGTCCCTGACATCCTTGGACAGCTCTTTGGTCTTGGTCATGGTGGCTACTTTGGAATCTACTGGATTGATTGCTTCTGTCGACAGGTGTCTTTTGTACAGGCACTGTAACGAACTGGGATGACAGGTAAGACCTCTCCCTTACAGCAGGTGCTTCTAATCTCAGCTCCTTACATACAGTGAAGATACCAGGTAGCCTGACATCTGGCTGGTTGATAGGGGATCAAATACTCCTTTCACTCATTATAATGCACATCAATCTCTGACTTGTGACTTCTGGGTTTCCCCCCTCTTGTTATTCTGTCTCTCACAGCTACAATAAACCTACCATTAAAATTATGGACTGGTCATTTCTTCATCAGAGGGCAAACGGGCAAATTTAGCAGGGGATCAAGTACTTTCCCCCCTCACTGTCCCTCTTGCTGTCAAGAACCACTTAGGAGCGCAGCTGGGGCCTCGGGCTGATCCTCTGGGCAACACCCCGCCCCCCCCCCACTTTCCCTTGTGGATTCGCTCTGCGGCCGCTCCATCGGCTGCTGTGGATTGGCACCGTGGGGTTGGAGAAGGGGAGGGGGCAGGATTGGCCACAGGCGGTGGGCGTGGCTTCTCCGCTTGCCCAGCGCCCTCATTGGCTAGCCGGCGGCCTGACATGAGGCGGCCCCGCCCCCTCCAATTGAAACCTGCTGCCCGGAGGGAAGACTCAGAGCAAACTTCCCAGCGCCTGGGGCAGCAGGGCTGGCAGGAGACCGAGGTGCCAGGATCGCGACCATGCAGTACCAGCCGCCTGCCCTGTACGCGCCCACCCCGCTGCTGCAGCCCGTGCACCCCACGCCCTTCTACATCGAGGACATCCTGGGCAGGGGCGCCCCGACGGGGCTCCCCCACCCCGCGCAGCCGCCACCGCCGCCTCCTCCGCCCACGCTGCCGTCCCCCAACTCGTCCTTCACCAGCCTGGTGGCGGGGGCCTCCTACCGGACCCCGATCTACGAGCCCACCCCGATCCACCCGGCCTTCTCGCACCACCTGGCCGCTGCCGCCACCTACGGGGCGGGCCCCTACGGCGCGCCCGCCGGAGCCCCGCTCTACCCGTTCCCCCGCGCCGTCAGCGACTACGCGCACGCCCTCATCCGCCACGACCCCCTGGGTAAGCGGCGCAGGCCGAGGGAAGGGGGGGTGCAGGGAGGGGGCGCTCGCAACCCCGGGGGCCTTTCCATACTGGTTGCGCTGCTAGATCCGTTGGCTCCTGGTCAAGAAGGATGGGATTGATAGACCAATTAAGGGGCGGGGGAGGAGAGGATTGGGGAAGGTATGGGGTCCTCTCCCCAACCCCTTACCCCGCGGTCAGTTGACCCACTTACCACGCGCCTTAAGCCGGCGCTCCCAGAAATCCAGAGGAATGATTGAGATCGTGGTGAGGGCAGCGGGCTTCCGAGTTGGAAACTTTCTTGGTTGTCAAAGAAGGATCAAGCTAAGTTATTTAAATATATATATATATTTAAATTAGAATAACCGAGGAACTAGCCAGTGACTATTGGACGCCAAACGTTTCTGAGTAGGTTGGGCAGTATAGAAGTTGCATTGAAGGGTGCAGATGATTCTGGAGGAAAAGGAAAAATCAGCTCCTCCTGGGCCTTAGGCCTCCCGAGAGGAATCGAGCGCCTCCACGGCAAATGTGACAAGACTAGCTCAGCTTCTTCCGTGGCCTTTGGAGGGCCTTTGAAATCGGTGCGTGTGCTTGTGTTTTTGCGGCACCAGCTTTCGTGGGCCAGAGAACCCAGGAAAGTGGACGAAACATGAAGCCCCAGCTGGCCTCTTGCTTTTGCACGAAGCGTGCAAGCCTGTGCATGTTGACTCATAGTCACAGTTTCTGCTGGGGGCTCCGAGGACTTTGCAGCCTTGATCTCTAAGGGGTCATCGTCGTGCTAAACCTTTCGGGGTTGTTGTTTTTTGCTGCAACTGATTAACGAGGCTGCAAGGGAGAAACTATGGTTTGTGGCGGGGCAGTGAAAGAGCGAGCTTAGGCGCCCCACCGCCGCAGCCGGGACTGGGTGGCGCTCAGCTGCGGCAGCAGCCAGCCTCGCGCAGGGTGTGTCCGCGCTGTTCTCCTCCACGATCCGACCTGCAGTGCAGGAGGATTTGCTGGGAATTAAGTACGTGCGTTTAAAAACGTCGGATCTTGTCACTCCTCCTTCGCCAAGGCGTGCTTACTCGGAAGTCAGCTCCGCGGCGTCGGATGGGCCTTAGGACGAGGGAGCGCGCAGGCCGAACGCTTCTTCTTTCTTTTGGGCACCGATTCGACTCAAAAGCATTTCTCTAGGTTTTAATTCGGATCGGAGGCTGGGGTGTGCGCCGGTAGTCCGCTGCGATCTCTCGCGCGCTGGTGGACTTGCTAGCTTCGGAGCCGCGGGATTCGACGTTCAGTTGCAACAGGCGCGGGATCCTCCGGGCTTTCAGTCTTGCTCCAGATTCATTTCTTGCTGAAATGAATGGAACTGACTTACCTTAATCATGGCCAATTTAAGCGCCATCGACTTCAAAAAACCTTTCCTCCAAGCAGGGATCCAGCCTAACGGGTTGAAGTTCAGGTGGTTTGCAAAAGCGGAGTCACTCCGGAGGCGAAACGGATTTACGATTTCTCGATTATTTGTCTATATTTGCGCTTGTTTCTCTTTCGAACCGGAAGAGGGGAGGCTGTGCCCCATATGGTGTAAAACTGAAGCTTGCGAGGGCCCCGATTCTCTCTCCCTCCCCCCCTTCCCGCCCCCCAGTCACCGCAGGCCGCCAGCAGACCTTGCAACGTCTAAGATTTGCAGGATTGGCTCGAGTTCGTGCTGTCTGAGAGGGGGTTGGCTGACCCTTTCCGTTCATACAGGATATCTTGAGCTCTTGATAGGAGTAAATCTGGGTTCAGAAGCTGTTAAGTGTTTTCCTGGCCGCCCGGAGCTGGCTCTTCCCCGGGAGTCGTGCACACTGCTGATTATTTTATCGACATCCTCAATACAGACAAATTCAGGAAACACTCGGCTTCTGATAGCCCGGATCCGTTTTTCTGATATTGTTCATTTCCTCTGTGTGGGATGGGGCTTTATGACAGCTAAAATAACTCGTTGCTTCCTTAAAAAAAAATCAGCACATGCAGAAAAAAGAAGCCTGTTTTCACCAGAATTACTAAGGCCTGACGCAAACGAAATTTTGAATAACAATGTTTTTTGCATTTTTCAAAGGCTTCGGCCAGACAGAAACACAAACACCGACCGACAGGGTGAGGGGATGTGGGGCCCTTTGAAACTCGGGCGCCCGCTCTCCTTATTATGGCGTAGGATAAACTCCTGATGCGGGGCCTGTTTACTTGAAAGTAAGCCTTCTGTCTCCTAAGGGGGCTTTCTGCCAAGTGGATCGGCGTAGGAGGGCAGCCGCCTTCTGAAACGATGTGTTTCATGACCTTACTAGCCTGCGTACTTTTCAGCCACATAGATTCCCCTCCCAAATCCCGGGAACTCTAGTTTGTCTGCCCCCGAGCTACAATTCCCAGCACCCTTAAGCTACGGTTCCCAGGATTCTTTGGGGGAAAGTAATGTGCTTTAAATGCGCTTTAGATGTATATTGTGCGCACAGCCCAAAAGGTTATGGATAAACTTCCCACCTCCCGTTTCCACTGCAATCCTAAACTTCACAGTAGCAATGGTAGATTACACTGATTTCCGTAAACGTCGTTAGGATCGCGTTAGACATGAATTATATATATAAATATAAATATATTTAAGGGAAACCCCACCGGGTTAGTCAGTGTGAGCTCTGATTTCCGAGTGGATTATAGACATCCGAGTGGATTACAGGCATCCGAGTGGATTACAGACATAGAACTTCTTTCCGAGTGATCATGCATAGGATTGGTCTGTTATTGTTTCCTGGCTGCGATTTTATGCAGCTGATAAATCCCACAGAAGCCATGCACGGGAAACAGCACCGTAGTAATGGAACAAGCAGCCTACTTCGCAGGGTTACTTGTGAGGGTGGCCATAGATTGCAAGAGCACCCAACATGGTGCCCGCCAGATTTTTTAGGACTACAACTCCCATCGTTCTAGACCATGCTGGGTGGGGCTAATGGGAGTTGTAGTCCTTAACATCCGGGAGGATATCAGTTTGGCTGCCCTTGATGGACCGAAGCTGGTTATGGGGACGCTGGGGGCGAGCAACGAGCCAAGGCGAGATCCTGCTTCTCGGAAGCCTGACTGCTGCTGAGGACGGAACGGTTGTCCTATCTTTCTTATCGAGCAAAATTTATACACCGCTTAGTAGAACGAAAGACCTCTCCGCGGTGTACAAGTCTAAAATATACCTTTAAAATGCTAATTTAAAATGAAATGAAATGTTATATTTTTTAAAAATACAAATACAAATCGGTATTTTTTTTAAAAAAACCTTATGCCTACTAAAATCACACGCCCGAGCAGGCTTGCTGGAACAACAACAAAAAAAAGTTTTTAGCAGGCGCTGAAAACAGCGAAGGAGCCTGCCTGCTTTCAATCGGCAGGGAGTTCCACAGCGTACGCTCTGCCGATGGATAATTATGCGGCACTTGTAAAGGCCCCAGATCCGCAGGTCTAGGTGGAACTTTCTTTGGTCTGATTCAACAGGGCCAGTAGTGCGCTCTTAATTTCGTGGAAAAACTTTAAAAGCGTCAGTATCAAATAGTCTTCTTGCGGCAACACTGGAATGGCGAGCCCACCTCAGAAAATAATGATTTCCCGCTATACAAACGGGGAAACTGCTGTTTTTGAAGGCCCACGCTTTCTCTCTATATGCACACACAAACTTTTTTTGTATTATTTGATATGATGCAGAACATACCAATTACCGGTAATTAAATGTAGCAATTAATTGCTACAGTTTTTATCCTGCTTCCCCCCACCCTCGGCAGAGATAAGGTTCTCTCTAGTTTATCCTTAACAACCCTGTAAGGTAGGTTAGGCTGAGAGACTCGGGCAGGGTCACTCACCCGGTGAGCTTTATGGCTAATTTGAACCCTGGTCACCAGGGTTCTAGCCCAGTGCTCTAACCACTGCACCACCCTACCATAGTAAAAAACAAACAAAACCGTTTGCGTGGAGACGAAAACAAATCCATGTGTTTCAACGTGGGTTTTGCCCCCAAGCTCTCTTGGCAGCAGACGCTAAACTAAAGGCTCTTCTCTGTTTCCTCTTACACAGTTCTTGTCCTCCACTTCCTTGAGGAAGCAGCCCTAAATCACGTGGAAGACTAGGCTGCAGTCCTGCACACGCTTCCTTGGGAGTAAGTCCCGTGAACTCCGAAGAACTTAATTTCTGAGTAGACCCTGTGCAGAATTGCACTGCCTAAAACCCCGGTTAAAAAAAATCCTTTAAGGGATAGGGTGTTGTGCACCAGAATCGAAGTCACCTCGAATTTAATCCAGAGGAAACTGAACGGAGGTGCCTTCATTAAGATTTGGGGACAGGGCATGCCACGGACTCAGTGGGTGGAGTTCCGCGTGCTTCCACTTAAACTGGTTTACATCTCGTTCAACAAACCAAAGTACTTGGGTTTTTGCGTGATACCATATTTTTAATAATTCGTCTCACCTTCCCACTCAAACCAACCAACTAGTTAATGGAAGTCTATAGGTTCGTTGCACGGATGGCCTATATATAAAACCCAAGAAGGGGGCAGGGAGGGGCAGCTGATCCCCCTAAATCAATAAAAATACATAGCTACTGAGGTTCTGCCCCCCCCCCCAACAAAAGGCCTGCCGTCCCCTAGCAAAAACCTTGGCTACGCCCATGATAATACATACGACTTTGCACGTTGAAAACGTTGTATAATAGCTAGGAATTATTATTCTTGTTATTTCGATCTCCATTGTTTGAAAAGGAATCCCGCTGGTTCTGTGTTTATCGCGTTATTTTTGCGGAACTTAAACCTGAAAATGAGATCCAGGTTAATGAGTTTAGGATCGGGAGGCAAATCTGCTCATTCAAGGTTTCAGCCTTGTAGCTCCTTTAGATGGAGGGAAAGCCCACCAGCTAAAATGAAATTTACATCTGACTAAGCGTGCCCCTCTAGCTTTTACGTGGTTGGGCATTTCCAGCGATTTCCAGAGAATCTGCCGTCGCGTCAGGTGCCTCGGGATCCCTTGACACCGAAAACGGCCTCTTCCTACCGCCGAGCTCGTGAGAACGCCGTTCAAGCGCGTGTTCATTCCTGCCTAGACGAATCGGGCTTGGTCGTTAAAGACCTGGGGCTCCGTTAAAACAATAAGGACTCCCCGTCCTTGCAGGGCAAACTTATGACGTGCTCTAGTGCTTAAGGCCTGTGGGGCCTCCTCCTCGGACTAAGCGCGTGCACATCAGGATTTGTGGCACCAAGTCTAAACGCAAGCAAGCGCGCTCCATGGATTCAAAGCATATTCCACTCTCCCTTTCCCTCCCAGTGTACAAGCACCGCTTTAAAAATGATCTTATTACTTATCTTGAATTTATTTAGGAGTCGCACACACGTAAGGGCTCCAAGCTACTTAAAACCATTTTTATGAGCATAAGCATCAGTTTTGTAAAATCTAGATACGGAGACAGATGATATAGATATAGCGATTCCTTTAAAAATCCACAAAGCAATCCACAATGAAAGCAGCAAAATGCTTTGAACAAACAGCTAGAATGTTGACTTCTCCCTCCCAAAAAAAACACCCACATTTAAGTGTCCGGCTTAAACAACGTTTGCACTGGCCGTGCAATTCTCTAACACGTTTATGCAACGCCAGTTGGGGCTTATTCCCACATTCGCGTGCAGTGGATTGCAGCTTTGCCTGTTTAGTAAGCGCCCAGGATTGTGCTGTTGATCTGGAATACCTAAGGGACCGTCCTTCAGTCCTCTTGTGGGCGAAAACTGGGACGAATGAATTATTATTATACACTACATTTGTTAATTAGGCTTATCCATCTGCCCTGGTATCTGTGCTACCTATTGCTGTTCCTTGCAGATGGTTCCCAGACCCCCACTAGGGTGTTGATACGATTATGTGCCGAGCACATGATCACCAAATCTGTTTCTGTAAAACAGGCATGGCCAAACTTGGTCCTCCAGATGTTTTGGGACTACAACTCCCATCACCCCTAGCTAACAGGACCAATGGTCAGGAATGATGCGAATTGTAGTCCCAAAACATCTGGAGGGCCAAGTTTGGCCATGCCTGCTGTAAAAGGTGTTTGAATATACAGTACATTCAAGCTGTGATTGTCACAGACTGTAATGTTCGCATCTCATTGCCATTCAGCTCCCACCTTACAATTTTTCCCTTTATGTAGCTGACTGCATGCATCTGAGGAAGTGGGTTTAAATCCACGGATAACGATAATAAACTCGTTATTCTTCAAGTTGCTTCAGGAACCTTTTTTTTTTAAAAATGCAATCGATGAAAGAGTAGGATAAAGCAGTAGCTTGTTAATAAAATAAAATAATAAAATAAAATAAACACCGAGAAAAAGACCATCACGATGATGCCAATTTTCTAAGCGTGTGAACAGAATTTTTTCTTCATGTATAGAACTCCTGAGTTGTAGTCAGCAATATCCGGAGCGCGAAAGGTTCCCTTCACCTGGATTAAGAACTGCGGAAACAAAGTGCGCACGAGGTATAATTAAGTGTCCGAAATGTCACAAGAAGTGCAGATCGTTTCAGATGACTTTCGAAGGGGTTTAGATGCGCCCATCCTAGCTGCGATCTACAATAAAATTAAAAAGCCAATATGGTGTAGTAGGGGTTAGAGCGTTGCACTAGGACCTTGGGAGACCAGCGGGCCAATCCATACTCAGCCACTGTAGCTCATTGGGTAACCTTGGGCCACCCACAGCCTATCAGCCTAACCTACCCCACAGGGTTGTTGTGAGGATCAGAACGGGGATGGGGCAAACAGAAGGTGTGCACCGCCTTGAGTCCCTGGGAAGAAAGGCGGGTGCGCCCGTGCAATAATAACACATCGAATTAATCAACTAAAAATGGTGTTTACTAACCAATGGCGGACAGCTATTAGACGCGGTCGCTAAGTGGAAACTTCGCGTTCGGAAGTCTCCGAGACCTCTCTGCTAGGGACGGAGCAGTGAGGAAAGCCCCGGGGGTTTCAAGGCTTCCAGGCTGGCTGGCGAGGGGTGGGCGCGCCGCCTCCGGGTCTGCGCTGCGCTGGCCGCGCTCAGCTTGCGGGGAGCCTTGATTTGCCTTGGGAGGCGGCTTCCTTGGGCGCGAGAGAGCCGAGAGGAAGCCTTGGGTGTTTCTTCTTCTTCTGAGCAAGAGAGACCAACAGGAAACACATTGGCGGAAATGTTGCCATCAGCCCATTGCGGAGAGCGGCTTAAACTGCCCTCTGGCTGATGTGACAAATCGGGGGAGGCTCGAGCGGAAAGTGAAGCCGCGAGGAACCCCAGGCGGCTCCGGGCGCAGCACCGACCTCACAACCGCGGATTAGCCGCCCCGGATTAGTGACTCCGGTTTGGAATCTTGTGACTCACTTTGCCCGCCCCCAGCTTTCAGTTAAGGACCCACGTCAACCTCAGAGGGCTATTTGAATCCCAAAAGGCATGGCAAGCGATTTCAGGATACTTTTGTTGTGAGTGTATGTAGGAGCTATATACCTTTAAAGCACATGCAAACACATAAACTCACTCCGACCGGAATTTTGGGAAGCGAAGGGTGCTAGGAATTGTAGCTGGGGTGGGTACTACAGTTCCCGTGATTCTTTTTTGGGGGTGGTGGTAATGTGATTTGAATGCATTTTACAGGTACAGTGTATAGGAAGCCTGCGTTTGTATGTGCGTACACATATATGTATGTACAAACACATACAAGTGTATGAGTGTGTGCATGTGAAGCGATGTACAGGTGTATATTTTTCATTCCCTCCTACAGTAACACCTGAATCAATCTAGAAAATGTTGGTCCAGGTATGCCACCGTAACAGGGAATGAAACACAGAAGGTGTTTTCTTCTTCTTCTGGTAATAAGTGATGACTTTTGTTTCTTAACATGTCAGCTGTTTTGAACTTCCTTCAATGTCTCCAAAAGGCACTGTATTGCGGTATCGTCTCCTAGACCGGCGATTTATTAATTGCTGATGGAAAATGAAGGAACTCAGTGGTGGCTCATTCCCCCTTTAAGTTTCTTCATTAATTGATCAATTAGATTATTTAATTGACGGTGCGATCCTGGACATTTTCACTCAGCAGAAAGTCCGGCTGTACTCAATGGGGCTGACTCCGATTTAAGTTTGTTTTTGGATAGTGGTAGCACCGCAAAAGTATTTCATCGTTAGGGAGTCAACTAAACACTGGCTGCGTCGTAAAAGGCAGGTCCTAATCACAGGTTGGAGGATTACTTTGGGGTAATTCATGCCAGTTTGATTAGGCTGGGTGCAGGAAAAGAGGTGTTTGAGCTGTCCGAATCGGAAAACGCCGCCCTTTCCTCGATATGTCCCGGGCTTCAGTCGAAGTGACCGGGACCACGGATCTAGAAAGCGGGGAGAAACACCCAGGCAAGGCAGGATCCCTTTTTATTTTATCTGGGTCGGGATCGCTGGAAGGGAATACAGTCCTTGGAACAGGAAAGAGTCGGCTGGGTCTCCAGCGGCTTCTCCTTGCGTCGGCCTGCGCTGCTCGTGTAAACACCGGGCGAGCGGACCCAGAAATCGGAGTGGCGCCCGAATGAAGTGAGCGGTTAAAGTATGGGAACGTGGCTCTCTCTTTAAGCAAAAGTGAACGAACGACGTTCGTGTGAAAGGAAGGACGAAAAGTGGGACCCATTTGCTAACACCGGTGTATTTATTAGCCTTTGCGAAGAAATGATCCATTCTGCATCTGCTGGGAACTCGGCCCCATTGAGCTCAACGGAGTTCAATAGGCATTGCAGCATCAGCCCCCTCTTAAGCGTCTGTTTACGGATCTTGCTCATTCATTCATTTCAACGGTTGATAGACCGCTTCACACCGTAGTGTCGAAGAGGCGCACGTTGAAGTTACAAAAAAAAGAAAGGCTAAAAAGTTGTGGCATGTGTTGTCTGCGGGCACCTTCTTGGGAGAATTCATTCGATGTATGCCTTTTGCACGGATTTCTAAAATAATGAAATAGAATAAGAGTGAATTAAATGTGGCTAAGGTTTTTCGCACTTTCCCTTCACCTGCCTATGCATCAAATAGGCATTTCAGTACAAGTTAGCTCCATGGGAATTTATTTCTTAGTATTTTCAGATTCTGGTTTTATGGAGTAGCCCTCCCGGCTCAACTCTCTGTCTCTTTAGTCCGGCAATGCACATTACTTGTCAAAATATGGTGAGCTAGCCCTGCTGCGCTTAGGGTGCCCTTCTGCGCATTCTGCTGAACCCGCCTCTGGACTTCTGTTCCAAAGTCCTGAGCAGAAAGGGCACTACGGAAATTATTCCAGATTAAATATCCCTGGAGTTGAACCAGTTGAGCGTTCTATGGAGTGAAGTGAACGTTCCATCCGGTGAACTGAACGTTCTATGGGGTAAATTGAACGTTCCATGGGCTTGAATCAAGTAGAGGGAAATTCGGATTAAATCAGACTTCGCCACCGAGGGCGCCCTCCAGATGCCCCGGACTACAGGTAGGAATTGTAGCTGGAGGGCATCGATTTCGGCGAAGAAGGGATTGCGATCTTGGCATAAATGGGGATGTGGAAAGCTTTGCCCCTGGACACTCCAGCGGTATTAACAGCGCCACCGTCTCTCCGTCTCCCGCAGGCAAGCCGCTGCTGTGGAGCCCCTTCATGCAGAGGCCGCTGCACAAGCGGAAAGGGGGCCAGGTGCGCTTCTCCAACGACCAGACCATCGAGCTGGAGAAGAAGTTCGAGACGCAGAAGTACCTCTCTCCGCCCGAGAGGAAGCGCCTGGCCAAGATGCTGCAGCTGAGCGAGAGGCAGGTGAGGCGACGCGAGGGAGGCAATTGAGGGTGACCCTTCCGAGACGGAATCCGACTAAATGTCAGTCACTTTCCCTTCACCTCCTTAGTGATCGTGCCCGACCGGTGCAATCACCCGGATTCGGTTGATATATTATATTATATTGACATACCTTGGTTTTTAGGAACAGGTTCCTGGCCACCTTACATTGGCAGCTAACGATTAACTGGTTCGAATTAGGCTAAATTCCTCTCTCACCACCAAAGGAACCCGCACAAGCAACGCTGACACAAAACCCCACATATATTAAATAAAATAGAAACATCACCACCCGACCCCACCCCCACTCATCTTTCCCCCCCCCCATCCACCTCTTTCCCCCTATTCTTCCTAATGTCTCAACAAATGAAACCGATTTTTTTTTTTAGTGTTACGTGGGAAAAAAATACGAGAGACATTGCACATACCTTTGCAAATCTTTAATAAAAATACATTAAAAAGAAAAGAATTAGGCTAAATTCCAAGAAATGTCTCCCTTTTTTTAAAAAAACCTGATATCACAATAAAGGAAGATCCGGAGCAATTTCTTGAAGTAGGGAGTAGACTATACGCCCAGTATGCAGCCTGGCCTCTCCGAATTTCTCTCGGAAGCAAGAGTAGAAACACATACCTGCTTGGAAACAATATTCAATGATTTCAGCGAGGCTTACTCTCATGCAAGTGTGCATAGGTTTCTTATTATGCTCTTCCTCTCAACAGGAGCCCATGGCACAGGACTGCAGTCTCAAGTCCCACTGTGAAGGGGTGGAATTAAAGCTGTAACCCTGTATAAACTTTATTGGAAATAAGCTCTCTAGTCAACTCTGTGGGTCCCACTTCTTGAGTAGGCATGATTGCCATTGCACTGTGGGTCTACTGAGGACTCTAGTCTTTTCATCGGTCTCTCTTTAATATCCCCTTTTCTCTCTCTTTGCTGTTGTTGGATTGCTTAGGTTAAAACTTGGTTTCAGAATCGTCGGGCTAAATGGCGGCGTCTAAAGCAGGTAAGAGAGATGCTCCTATTCCTATAAAAAATCATCTCCTCATTTTACACACACACAGAGTGCTGAGGAGGCTGTTTGCCCTCTTCAGCTATTATTATTATTAATAATAATAATAATAATAATAATAATAATAATAATATTTATTTGTACCCCACCCATCTAACTGGGTTGCCCCAGCCACTCTGGGTGACTACTCCTAAGATGACGAGCAGTCCTGTTGGGATCTCTGAGTTGCTGTTTAGCATGAATCTTATTCCTCCCCCTGCCGCACCCCAAAATTGGCTCTGCTTTCTGTCTTTGCAATGGGTGCCAATTATGTTACTTATTTTGGGAGCCCTAGAAAAAGACATGGCCACATTAAAAGGAAAAGGAGCCGCTCTGAGTCATCAGAAGAGCCCTACTGGATCAGGCCAGTGGTCCCCCTATTCCTGTATCCTCTTCTCATATGGAAAGCACACAAGTAGGATCTGAGTGCAACAGCTCTCTGGAGATTGAGAGGGATAGAGAACTTAGTCCTGTGTTGTCCCTGACTAACTGTTCATCTGGCTTGACCCATGAATTGAACATGTTAGGAAAACGATTGTGACCCTCCAGTCATTTATTTCTGAGCACCCCCAGTGAAACAGGCAGAACTCCTTCACCATCATAGGATCACACCAGTGATGCAGCCCAAGTCAATGGGCGCATTGCTTTCTTGGGGTTCAGTATGCATAAGCATCATTTCCCACTGACAAACCCAGCGGGGCTCTGATTCAGATGACAAAGTGGCCCTTAGAAGTGCTAAGATATAATCACAGAGTTGGAAGGGACCCTGAGGGTCATCTGGTTCAACACCCTGCAATGCTGGAAATAGAACATGCTCCCTGGAGCTGTGAACATAGGTTACAGTGGTACCTCAGGTTACATACGCTTCAGGTTACAGACTCCACTAACTCAGAAATAGTGCTTCAGGTTAAGAACTTTGCTTCCGGGTAAGAACAGAAATCGTGCTCTGGTGGTGCGGTGGCAGCAGGAGGCCCTATTAGCTAAAGTGGTGCTTCAGGTTAAGAACAGTTTCAGGTTAAGAGCGGACCTCCGGAATGAATTAAGTACTTAACCCGAGGTACCACTGTATATGCAAAAATGGCAGGCTGCATTCTTTGCTTTAAGGAAGGAAAGAGTAAAAAAAAACCCCAACATCTTCTGAACAAACTCCACAATCTGTTAATGAAAATCAAAAACAATCTCTAATGCAGTACCAAGAAGTTTTGGGCATGGTCAGCCACAATCCAAAACAGACACTATGCAGCCCAATCCTATGCATGTTTACTCAGAAGTAAGCCCCATTGAGATGGATGGAACTTGTTTCCTAGTAAGCAAGTGCAGACGCTTCAGGTTACAGATGCTTCAAGTTACAGACTCTGCTAACCCAGAAATAGTACCTTGGGTTAAGAACTTTGCTTCAGGATGAGAACAGAAATCGTGCAGCAGCAGTGCAGCAGCAGCGGAAGGCCCCATTAGCTAAAGTTGTGCTTCAGGTTAAGAACAGTTTCTGGTTAAGAACGGACCTCCAGAACGAATTAAGTTCTTAATCCGAGGTACCACTGTATTCTATAGAATTGCAGCCTAATCCTGTATCCCTTCTGATCATCATGGTTTTAGATGTAAATTCCACCATGTTCCATGGGGCTTGCGACCAAGTAAGTGGTCCTAGGGTTTTTACTTGATCACACACACACCACCCCCACCTGTACTTGTGAGAAGGAAAATAGTTGTGATTTTAATTGGTTGGTATCTCTGTGAGAAGGGACGCGGGTGGTGCTGTGGGTTAAACCACAGAGCCTAGGGCTTGCCGATCAGAAGGTCGGCGGTTTGAATCCCCGCGATGGAGTGAGCACCCGTTGCTCGGTCCCTGCTCCTGCCAACCTAGCAGTTCAAAAGCACGTTAAAGTGCAAGTAGATAAATAGGTACCACTCCAGTAGGAAGGTAAACAGTGTTTCCGTGCGCTGCTCTGGTTCGCCAGAAGCAGCTTAGTCATGCTGGCCACATGACCCAGAAGCTGTACGCCGGCTCCCTTGGCCAATAAAGCAAGATGAGCGCTGCAACCCCAGAGTCGGCCACGACTGGACCTAATGGTCAGGGGTCCCTTTACCTTTACGTTGTCTCTGTGAGATAGTGGAAGGGTTAAAAATGGTTTTTTATAAATAAACACCTCCATCCTTGCTTCCCTTCCCTCCTACTTGACTGCTTCAGTGTTTCCTTCACCTGAGATCCTTCATTGTAAATTTTCTCCCTGACTTTTTCAGGAGAACCCTCAAGCTAGCAAAAAAGAGGAAACCGAAAGTGGGGACAACCACCAGGATCCAAGACAAGAGGACTGTCTGAGTCCCGACCATGATAAGGAGACTTCTCCAGGGAGACCACTGTACACCCCATCACCAGCCTCCCAGGAAGAGCTGGATACTGACATCTCTGATGATTCAGACCAAGAGGTGGACATTGAAGGTGACAAGGGCTATTTCAATAGTCCTCATCAGTAGTCACGGTCCCCTTGAGGACGGACTTTCCCTCTGCTTGCACTTTAAGAGGAGTTGGCTTGACAAAAATGAGGAGGGGAAATATAACTCTAAGTCAGTGTTTTTGTTGAGACAATCACCTGAAAAATGGGGCAGATCTTTTTACTTTGAAATGACAGGAAAGAGCCTGTGCTTGTTGATAGATTTGTACAGTGATCAGTTTTTATATCCTCCTGGGAATATAACTACTACTACATCTTCTTTGAAGACCTTTAACTGGCTGAGAGGAAAAAAACCCACACCAAACAAACTGGATGAAAAGGGCCCTTTTGATTCCCCAAGGAGAATTTCACTTCTAGGATGGAAACTTTGCAAAAAGACCTTTTGAATGTTGCAGGACTGAAACAAAATGTTTTGAATCTTGGGCCCAGGGGTCCAAAAAGTGGGGAGAGAGTGTAGCAGATACCATCGACATAACCTTACTTTCATCTCCTGAAAACACTGGCACAGTTAGGTAATTTCAGATGCTGGGCTTGTGGGACTTTCTCCTTAGATCGTATCATGTATTATTTCACTTAACACTTAATTCCAGTGGTCTTACAGGGATGCTCTTCGGATGGGAATATGTATCACCTCAAAAGGTGGTAAACCAGCCTTAATGCATTTGAGGGCCCTCTGGCTCATTCAGTGGGGTCACCTTGACCTTTACCCCAAAGTCCTGCCCCACTGACTGAAAACAATGTATAACCAATGTGGCCATCATGATTTTTTTAAAAAAATGTTTTTATTAAAGATTTTCTTGGGTTACAAAAGCATGGACATTGTCTCTATTTTTAGCTCATAAAGTCCTTTCTACATATCAGCTATATTCAATGTGAGACATTAATGCTGTATGCAGTATAAGGTTGGGGAAGAAGAGAGGTGGGGAGAGAGAGCAGGGGGAGGGGGGTAGTAAACTTTCATTCTTTTACATGGTGTATGTGCAAGTTTTTGTGTTGGCGTAATGTGGGTAGGTTCTCTTTCTATTCATTTATTAGTTATTGGCAGTGAGAGAGGTTGTGGGACCAGGGCATGGTTGTTTGCCTTCAGTATACTGCAGTAAGTTTTGTTTGCACGTGTTTTGTTTGTGGGTGGGTGGGTGGGATGTTATTGGTTCAAGTTAGCTATATTGATTTGTATGCTGTTGGTCAGATCAATGTGGGCATTATGTGAAGTGAGTTCTTAGATGATTGGAATATGAGTGCGGGAAGGAACAATGGCATGGGCAGGAAGAGAACTCCCTTATCTTTAAGAAGAATGCTGACAAGCTGGAACATCCGCAGAGGAGGGCAACTAAGAAGATCAAGGGTCTGGAAACCAAGCCTTATGAGGAACAGTTGAAGGAGCTAGGTATGTTTAACCTGGAAAAGAGGAGACTGAGAGAAGATACGATAGCCATCTTCAAATATCTCAAGGGCTGTCACATGGAAAAGGGAACAAGCTTGTTTTCTCCTGCTCTGGGGGGTAGGTCTCAAATCAATGCTTCAAGTTCTGACTAAACATCAGGAAGAACTTTCTGACAGTAAGAGCTGTTTGACAGGAAAACAGACTTCCACGAGAGGTGATGAACTTTCCTTCCTTGAAGGTTTATAAGCAGAGGTTGGGTGGCTATCTGTCAAGGAGGATCTAGCTGAGATTCCTGCATTGCGGGTGGCTGGATCGTCCAACTCTACCATTCTATTATTCTAAATTATTCTTCCCTGTTGTGGGATATACACATGTGTATTGTGGAGGCTTGTGGTGAGAGTGTTAGCCTAGGAGTGGGGAGACCTCGGTTCAAACCTCACTCACTCATGAAGCACATGCCACCCACCTGCAAACCTAATTTATCTCACTGGGTGGGTTTTGGTGGGTATAAGATTTGCAAGGGAGGAGACCATATATGCCGCCCCGAGCTCCTTGGAGAGAAGATGGGGCAAAAAATATAAGCAAAGAACAACTCAAACCCTGTTTAATGGAAGAGTGGGGTAAACTGTTTAAAACAAATAAACTCATCCTCTAGGAGTTAGCTTTATTTATTTCATTTCATAAAAATTATACACCATTTGATTGTAACTTCCCCTCCTCCCCAAAGATTTGAGATCCAGTTGCTATGGACACATCCCTGTACTTATTCTAAAGGCCAAAAGAGATTACTTTCATGCCCTTGTACCTCAGGTTAAGTACTTAATTCGTTCCGGAGGTCCGTTCTTAACCTGAAACTGTTCTTAACCTGAAGCACCACTTTAGCTAATGGGGCCTCCTGCTGCCGCCGCGCGATTTCTGTTCTCATCCTGAAGCAAAGTTCTTAACCCGAGGTACTATTTCTGGGTTAGTGGAGTCTGTAACCTGAAGCATATGTAACCCGAAGCGTATGTAACCCAAGGTACCACTGTACATCGAAACACACACATACATATTTTGCAAAGAACTTATGTATTAATTAATATTAAATGGGCAGCCTGTCTGATATTCTCAACTGCTGAAGGTTGGATGATCCCAAGGAGGCACAAGTCAGCTAAAGGAAAGCCATTGGTGATCTGTCTTGTTCCTGATCAAGAATTAGAGGGAGTCCCCCATACCAAGACTATCACAGTGCAATCAATTCTTGGCACATCTACTCAGAAGCAAGCCCTTTTGAATAATCTAATTCCGTGCACTTGAGATGCGCTACTGAACTCAGTGGGACATGTCCAAGGAGCCATATCAAGGCTCAAACTGAATTCCCCCCACCACTTTGCCATCTAAAATGAATCAGATATGTTAGAAAGTCTAGCACAGTGGTAAATTCCCCCGACCCCTTGCTTCATGATGAACTGTTTGCAGTACACGGAATGACTTCCAGACAAGGCAGCTATTTGTAGGCCTACGTGAGTTTCTGCCAGTTCCTGGGAAGGTGATCCTGGAGAGGAAGCAAGCCTGATCTTTTGGAAAACCCCTCAGTTTGCTTTGAGTTTGCAAACAGGATGGCAGGTCATGTTAACAGGCTGGGAAATGACGACCAGGACTGATCCTGAGCATGATTACTGGAAAGTAAGTTCTACTCGTTGGGCACCTGCGTGTCCATACACCTCTCTTCCCAGGGTCCTCAAAATAGAAATGGAGTGGGGAGGGACAGGGAATGGGAGATTGAAAGGAATAGCTGGAATTCTGAACAGGGAACTTTCAGCACTGTAGCAATAGTTGCAATCCCCACTACTATTTGCAAGTGTGGAAATCAGTTACAACAATACTGTAGCACCAGACCATCTGTTGTATATTCCCTTTCATGCAGTCTCTTATTTATCTCACCGACCCCAAGATCTGTACGTTGGTGTGTTATTCTCCATCTTTCTGGACTGTTCTCTGGTTGACGGTTGGCTATTTTGGTTGAATTGGCATGGGTGACCTTTACGGCATGGCTCCCATTTTGTTTTGGAGCTCATTTTATCAGGAGATTCAACTTGAAAACGGTTATCATTTAGCAGGAGAACAAACACGGGAAGCGCATTTTTGCAAGCAAAACGTTAATGATTGGAAGAATTGCACCAATTTCAGCATGGCAGTGTGTGATTAATCTTCTGGGTCAGGTACTTATATTTTTAGCCATTAGGTTCGTTGGCCTTTGATAGTCAGAACTCTTTCTAGCCTAATAGGATATTGATTTTGCTGGATAGTGTACTTTGACTCCTTAAACAACACCCACTTGACTGTCAACAGTGTCTAACAGTTCAGCTGGACCAAAGTGCCTGGCACAGATTTTGGAGGGGGTGGAGGGAGGGAGGGAGAACAGAGTGGTTTTCATTGAGGCAAGTGACTGGCATGTGGAAAGGTGCATGATTTCTCAACAGGCATGGCAGTGTTTAAAGTACAAGCATTTTCATCAAAAGGAAGTTTTGAATCAAAACAGCTGTTCACATGAGAGTACAAGTGTTCTCTTTATAGCCCTAAACCAGGTTCTGTTATCAGTTCAGTAGTTTGGCTCTTCACAGATACTCAGGTTATCCTGTCAATAGCGTAAGAAGAGCCTGCTGGATCAGGCCAATAGCCCATCTAGCCTAGCATCACAGTGGCCAACCACTCTTAATAAGGAAGAGTGGGAGGAGGAAGTGTTGGAAGCTGAAGGGTTTAGTGAGCAGGAAGAGCCTATGGCAGAGAGCAGTCTAGAAGCAGAAGCAGGCAAGGAGGGAGGCCAAGAGGCAGAGATGAGTCAGGTTGGTGAAGGAGGAGGGTGTCGCCACCTCTACTGCGATGATATTGCTGGTCTCCCAGGACTAGAAGAGGTATGAAGAGAGAGGAGCAGAGGCTGGTTCATTGGTGTAGGAAGGACCCAGGTGGTGAGCAGGAGATTTAGGCAGATGTGGGAAGGCAGGGATCTTCAGCCTCCACAGCTGCTTCATAGGGGAAAGACCTATGAGGAGTTGGTGTCCTCATTAGGCCTGGCACGCCTGAGCAGGCCTGTTTGCTGAAAGAACTTTGGCTGGTAGCCAACAAAACCATACTCAGAGTAGTCCCACTAAAAGCTACTTTTAAGTCTACTGACTTCAATATGCCTTCTCTGAGTGTGGCTAACACTTGATAGTACCCTTTATTTTTATTCTGCAGTGTTTCACAAATTCTGTACAGATGACCTTATCAGCAAGAGCAGATATATCTCAATTCGTCATCAAACCTTTCATCAGGAGATAAGGACAAAACAAAGTAGTTCTAGTTGAGCTTATTGATTAATCCATTAATGATTTTGTCAATTTATGGAGATTGTCTTCAGCTACCCGGCTTGGTTGCTAACCACATGATTAAATAGATGCAACCTTGACTTCTGTTGCGAGTATCTGCCACATTGCAGGCTCTGGAAAAACATACCCCACACTACAGCTTCAAGGATTAAAATAAATAGTCAATTGCACCAGGAAGTGCGTGATTAACAGTTAATCAACCCGTTAACCGTCTTGCAAATTGGGGTCCAATTTTTCCTTAGCTGCTTATGGAATCCACATTCCATTATTTGCAAATTACAACAGATTAATTGAACAAATGCTTTCAAAATGGACCAGAGTGCTGGTTTAGAAGCACAGAGGAAGTGGTTTCTTAGACAACGGTTTCCCACAAATAGATTTGATAACAGGTACGTGGCTGTGGTGAGATGGTGATATTGAAGTACAGAACGGTTGATTGTTTTACTGAAGATAGAGCCTCCTTTTTAGTATTATTAAAGCCTTTTGCTAGTCAATTACCTACTCTCTTTAAGTCCTTAAAACTCACTAACATACAATCCTGGTTGAAGCAGCTGTGCCTTGTCACTATATTTTTCTAGCACATTAGGATAATTATCTGGCTAATGGTGAATAGCAAGTGCAAACATGGGAGAACAGCTTTCCTCATTAAGGACGTGTGATATTTTCAAGGATCACAAGTTGGCAGAGGAAAGGAGGTAAGAAGTCACTGGATTATGTTGTTCTCCATTTTAACCTATAATATTAGGCCTTGGTTATATTCATCATTAATTGCTGTGTTGCAAAAAACGACTAACAGCGAAATTCTATGCATGCCTACCCAGAAGTAAGCCCCACAGTGGGGCCTGGTTTCAGATAAACAGGCAGTTGTGTGGGGTGGCTGCCTTAAATATCAGATATGGGGATCTTTCAAGGTGATGGAGGTATGGATCTGAATTCTTGATGTATAAAGCCTAAGGAAGAACCTTGAGTTCATTTGTTGTTGTTTTTTCAATTAATAAATAAAAGTTTCCCTGCTCAATCCCTGATTGAAATAATAAAGAACTTTGCAGAAGGTGACTTCCCAGTTTTCCAAATGCTTC